TGTTTGGTACTATTAGTCTCAAATAGGAATGCCGGTTATCAGCTATAAGTAAATGGTAATGCTATTAGTAAATGGCCAAATGAGGTCCACAACAAATTAACATGGTGTTCATCACGTCACGATTGCTTTCTGACTACTCACATATATCGAACTGTGACGACTCCTTGATTCTTATGAGGCATTGGTGAAAATCTGACTGAATTCATCTCCGGTAGAGGGCGTGTTGACTGTATTTTTGCAAGTGCTTAAATGCTGCCACACATGCAAGCAGCCTGCCATGATAAGCTTCCTTGACCTATATGCTGGTATTGATTGTGCTGAAGGCACCTGGTTGCGCTGTAATCGTCTATTCAATGGCGGAGAGACTCCGTTTTGCTCCAACAAGTATAAGACGACTCCAATGGCTTTGCAAAAACTATGATAGGCCCTGTTTCGAATTCACCACAAAAAGCAGACGAGTTGGTGCTACCCAATGTCACTCGTGATGATGAATGACTCTCATCCATTTCCTTCCATTTCTGGGGTCGAATTTCTGTTTGGTGAATGACTATCAAATATAGAATATTTGGACAGCGTAGCTAACCTTTGATGGGACCAAACCGCTACGCAAACACTACTCGGTAAACACGCGTGGCGCTGCAGGCTTTATCATGTGCATCATAAACTACTGTCACAGAACATGGCCGATATGCCACTGGTCCTTAACGTTGCCAACAAACCGCTCGAAGTGGTCGATCAGTTTACTTATCTGGTCGGCTGTTATCACCGATGGTCACACCACCGAGGAGGTTACGGCATTTAGCGCTAGGTTAGTGCAACTCCTCTAGTCCTCCGTCACTTTTGGAGACAAGGTTATGCGAGGATTTAAACGATGCAGTTTGGTCAATTTTACTGTATGGATCTGTGGCCTGACCACTGCACGTTGAAGACGTGAAGAGATCTGTTCTGTTTGACTACCGATGGTTGCGATATTATCGCTTTTATCTGGTGATGGCATCCAGTGGGTAATGCTGAAGTTCGTCCTCCTGTTGGGCACGAATCGTCTCCAGTGGCTCGGCCGTGTGATCCACATGGTTGCCTGGACGTGTATTTTTGATAACATCGATCCTAATTAACTGAACCCACAAAGTCGTCAGTCGGTAAAATGATGGGAAAAAACAAGTAGGGTTTGTTGTTATCGTTTAGCTAGATAATGTCCTCGGGGTCGATCATTCCACTGAATGTATACTCCAGGCAGTACAGCGTAATCACGAAAGTAATGCCTCTGTTGTGTTCCTTTGTTTGATTTATCTATTCCATCAGAAGGTATAAACTCTTGTCATTTATTTTTGAATTATTATTATTATTATTAGAGATGGTCAGTCGCTGTCAGCTCTCATGTGGACAACATTTCACGCATCCAGAAAAGAGTCAAACGGGCGTTTTGTCCTATTGTAACCGGTTCCTCTCGCGGATCCCCGAGTCCAACCTGTTAACACCAACGGAATATGTCACTAGGCCATGGGTGGTGACTGCATTAGACATCCGTCGTTGATTGATAAATTCGGTATTGTCCAGCTTATCCAACATTGTTAGCAACATCACCGTTACACGTTATTAAAAATGGAGACACAGCTGCTGTGGTGCAACATAATACAAGATAATAAATATTACAGAATACGAGAGAAAAACAAAGAATTTGGTATTATGCTTTACTATCATGTATCAACGCTGAGCTCGTGACTGGATGGGAAGGCTAAGCGGGATGAGGGGGACAAAGAAGATTACTATAGAAAAGCCACTGAGGTCGCCTCTTCGCCATGTCAGCGAGTGTCTTCAACCAAACGTGTTCATCGTTTTGCGTATTCCAACAAGGAAGATAAGAGAAGCCAACCAAAGGAAAACTTCGAACTGAGGGCGTTCATGCTTCCTTACCAAGTCATCGCTTAACCTCCCTTCCTCTTATTCAACGTAGGCCCCAGTAAAGCAAACAGCTCACATCGAGGGAGTCTGTGTGCTGGATTGCGAAACACGTGACCGAGTCATCGGAGGATGGTGCATGATATAACGGTGCTGAGCGGCTCATTCCATGTTTCTGCACCAAATGCGCAACGCCGAAAAGGTCAGTGCACACGCGGTGCTCCTGCTTATGTCCGTGGTGCTGATTAGGCGGTTTTCACAACTGTACAAGAGGGTCGAATCTACGATTGTATTGTAAATTTTACCCTTCAGGAAGTGATGTTAGTCCGGCGCAATTTGTGGCAAAAGCTCCTCGAGCTATTGCTGTACCATTCGTTACGTCTTTGATTCCACAAGAGCTAATACAAGAGCCTAGGTAGTTGAATTTCTGAACGAATTCTAGCTGATCTCCGCCAAGGGTCAGTGCAGGGGACGATCCCTACTAATTTTGGAGGAAAGCTATGCACTTCAACAGTGCAAAAATAAGTCGGAAACGGCTAACAGCCAGTGTTAATGTATCTAGTGCTGCTTGGCACTGTGAGCCCTAACGGGCTAGGGCAATATCAACGGCGTACTCCAATACAGGAAGTCAACCGCTGGGAAGCAGCTGTACAACTTTTAAGTCGTGCCTAATTAACGCAGTCCCACTGACTCCGTAGAAAAGAAATTAAAAAAGAAAGCTCTCAGTGAGCAACCGTTTCACATCACTGAGGATATCGAAAGGCTGTGACAATTTGGCATAAGTCCTCACTCTGCCCGAAGTACGCGCGCACAACGCCCTAAAGACATATTTATCAGGTACGTCTATCCTGAGCATATTCCTAAAGTGTACATCGATTCATCAAATTGAAGACACTTTTAGTCTCCAGGAATACGACCAAGGTGGACGCCAGTATATATTGCAGTGTCTTAAGAGCTAACGTAGATCAGATCAGGTAAATAAAACTTTATATACTCGAGTGTATCTTTTCAGTTTTTAATAGATCCACTGAAGATGTTTCAAAATAACATCACCACAAATGCAACATCGTTCAACTGGAAAATAGAGTGTAGCGGTTGTGAATAGACTGTAGTTTATCTTACTTCCGTTACCGACCATTTTATCCCTGTTTGGATTAGCGAATTTGGAATACAACAAATTCAACGCGCCTAGGTCGTTGTTTTCCCTTGCTACTGTTTGTGCTGTCGCCGTCCTTCCAGCAGTCGGACACATAGCTTCGAATCACCGGTCGGCTTCTGAGTTACGGTAACTGAAGGAAGGGTTATAACGCTAGTATGTCTGATCGCTCTACAACTTGTTTTGCCTAAGACAATATGTGCCTCAGGACTCCAACTTTCTACGTAACAGTCTACTACATTAATTGGTGACCCTGAATTTCTGGACGTGCTATTTTTTCTTCATCGTGTTCGACCAGCCTTTTCGTGAACAGTTGCCTGAAAATTCTGTCGCATTTTACAAAGTTGGATTGCGATACGCAACGTTTGTTGAGACTTCGGTTAACTTTGCGTGTCGCAATCCAACCACAGAGGGGTTCTCCAAATCCAAGTTTGAATTCCTTTACGCTGTGCCACGTGTTCCTCGCGGATCTCAGTAACATAATGATCAAGGCGTCAGCCGTAAACCACAAAGCTCCTGGTTCTACCCCAGCTCAGGATATCTTCACCTGATGAGTCCAAATCAGAACGAAACCGTCGGGTGTGATGCATCAGTGCTGGGAGGGGCAACATCGAAATACTTCTATTATGTCGCAATTTCTTTAACTTACTTCAACATGTTAAACCAAGGTGTTTGGTTTATTCAATTTGACTATGTCTAGAGTTTTCGTACGATCAACTCACAGTATACAATATTTTCATGCTACTGCTCACTTGCCTACACACTTTGCTTCAGAAGTCATTGACATCCTTGACCTTATCCCGACTGAATTATCTTACGATAAGCTTAAAACAGCCATATTAAAACGCACTACTGCATCCGAGGAGACAGGCCTATAATTGCTACTCCTTAGCGCCGAGCTTGGCGATCGTATACGGTCTCAACTCCTTCGACACATGCAATCACTTGTCGGTTCCTCTTCTTTTGATGACTCTATTCTTCGCTAACCCTGGACTATGTGTCTTCTAGCAAACATAACGACGATACTAGCTGTTTTGGCGGATGAGCTTCCACTAAATAAGCTGGCTGAAGCGGCCGACAAAGTGTACAGAAGTTTCTTTAAAAATTCTGTGCACCCCATGACTGGGGGTATCCACTGCAAGTACTTCGGCGAATACCACACTCGACTCCATTAATGAGAAACTTTTAAATTCTGAGCTCAGTGTCTCTCAACTTAGACGTGATCGAAGACGAAACTGAAGATCCTTTTGCAGAAACAAGCCTCGCAATAACGCACGCACGCGGTCATCCCGCCTTTACTGCTACTTTCAGTACAGCTTTGGTGATACTTCACGAAACTGTGGCCCAGGGTGTACTCACCAAAAGGCTTTCGCAAACTTTAAATCTGGAAATGACAAAACTATCCAGTAATGGCGACGACTGCACCTGACCAAATCATTAGTCACCTCCAGTAGGTAATCGATTTCACGACCAAACTGCACTTTTTGATTGACACCGGCGCAGTGGTAAGCGTTATACCCCGTTCCTTGGAAGATGCTCGCTGCAGCTGGATGGAATGACGCTACAAGCTGCTAAACAGACAAAGATCACGACTTATGGCCAGAAATTCATCATGCTCAGCTTTGGACCAAGTTGTAATTTCCTTTCATTTTTACGATCGCTGATTTATGTGTGAAAAGTTAAATTGTGGGGTAAACGAAGACTTGATAAAATACAAACAAACTTTTATTTCGAGGGAGTCCCTTGCTAGTCAGAAATAAGAAAAAAGTGAGTAGAGATCATTGAAATTCCAGAAATGGGTGTAGTTCTTACCACCACTATATAACTCTGAAATATGGACAAAGGATAATTCATGTAAGATAACTTAGCAACAACGGATTTTTCAAGAACCTAGCCTACCAATTGCATCAGAAAGTAAGCGTCGGTGACCATATGCGCTTCTGCACTCGTTCCTGCAGGATGCCAAGGTTGAAGCGCAAAGCCACTTAGGCTGTGACGGCTGGTGTTGAAGTCATCATGTTGAGGTGTGCATTAGAGTAATCTCGGAACACCTTGTGTCATGCAATACTTACAATAACGGGGTCACTTTACGTCTAAGGTAAGGAATCTCGAAACTTCCGATTCGCTTAAATCAAAAATGTCTAACAGAAGGTTTCAGATTCTTAACTGCTCCGCTCAATATTGTAAAATTCTGCCTGATGCAGTTCGAAACGGATGCACGCGACATTTCGGATGAATCACATAAAATGGCATGGACAGATAATCTAGTGTCCCCAAAACAACAAATTCAAGCAGTTGAAAGACGCCTACATAGGAATGCAAATTATGGAGGTTGGTAACAGCGATTTCACAGGTGAGGAATCATCCGACACAAAACGGTTTGGGCGAAAGAGGTCCAATAGAATTGGAAGGCACAAATACGGTTAAGGTAACCACAAGATGTACACACACGTGAAATGAAATCTAAAATGACGGTAGAAGTTAGAAGGAATAGGTGATTTGATAAACAACTCATTGCTCGAATTCGATGCTGCGAATTTCATTCTCTAATTCCTCCATATCCGTCTGGGTGAACAATTCTTCATCCACATCCAGATCGCCTAGACAACAAGTAAAGGGAGACAGGTGAGACAGTGCTGTTAGATATGTTGCGAATTGCGAATAAGTTGTTAAATACGAACGATCACATCGTTTTAGCGGGTGCACGGGAGATAAAACGATTACATAGGCTCATGAGGACAATACAGTATTCACCTACAGATGGAGAACGTCTGCTGATCCATCTGGAGTGACAAAGATAATGCTCGAGCACGCGCTCGCATTGTAGTTAAGGTCCCGACATCAGCAGAGCACCTGGTATCGAGGTAAATAACTTGCCATATGGGATGAACAATTCTTCCAGTCCGAGATAGAGCGTCAACTATCGATTAAGAATGAGGTGGAGAGACTGAATACCCTTTGTAGATCTCACCGATGCGCCTTGAAGAAGGATCTGGAAGCCATCATCCGCTTAGGTCGGTTCTTCCGAAGAGTGTTGAATCTATGAAGCATAGATCAACCAGCTTGGAGAAGGGAACGAAAGGCATCAGCAGTAAGCTGGTGCGTCACACTGATGCTTTAATGAAACGCGACTACTACGAGGCGAGCGCGGGCTGGGTATACCATGAGGTCGCCCACACCTAAGAGGATTCGAACCAGTGACCAACCATCCTGTTCTCTATTCTCTGCTTTAAAGTAGCTAACCAGAGGCCCAAGGAAAACTCAGTTGTTGTGGTGTTCGCTGAGCTGGACGACTGGGTTGCAACCAAGTTGCCAAGTTCAACGAATACCACAGCAAATGAAAACCAGACCCGAGCTAACCAGTAGCTCATATAATCTCGAGTTCATCGAAGAATCAAGAGGGTTAGTAGAACGAAATGGAGAGGGATAAGGAAAACCGAAGCTACTAGTAACAGTCGGACAATGTTCTAAGTCACACGAAGCACATATGGTGGGACTTAAAACGATAGTCATGACAAACTGAACGTTGATCGACCGACGTGAATTACTGGCGGTAAATTCGGCCGAGCAGTGGCGTTGCCATTGGTTACTAACCATCTGAACTCCCCTGGAATAGTGAAGTCAAGAGCCGCAGCAACAAGGAAATCCACCGCAAACTAACGCTGCTAAAAAAGTACATGCGGTCGCGATGATCACGATTCATCGTTTACCAAAGATAGTCGAGACGTAAAGGTGATGATGGTGCTTCAATTTAACTGCGTAGAATGTTAGAATATTCACTCGTCACTAGTAAAACATCATTACCGCCTTTAAGAAAGTAGTCTCGCGGACATTATATGTATGTATATATATATACATATATATATATATATGTATATATATATATAGAAGTTAATTTTCGGTGTTTGGAGCACCCGCCATGTGTCTTAGATTGCGAGACGCAATCTCACTTGTGGCCTGGGTTGACTTTGAAGTCAGCCCCTGCCAATACGATTGCTGGGACCACCAATGAAATGGAGGGTTTCGGTGTGACAGTCACAAGTGTGATTGCGTGTCGTAATCCAAGGCACACAGCAGGTGCTGCAAGACCTGAAAATCACAGCCTGAACAATTGTGGGAGACTCAACGCAAACAAAGAAGTAAAAATTGGACTAAGACACATCATAATGGAGGACCGAAGAGGTCAGTGCGCGCATGGAAACCCTCTCGTTGTTGAATCACGTTTGGGATACCTTTGGTCCGAGTAAACCGAGTAAAGTTCAAGGAAACTTCGTTTACGTTAATTGGTAGGCTGATAGCCGGTGTCTCCGGAGAATAGCAAGCAGAGCAGTGCAACTGCTGAGGAAACGTAAGAACATCAAAAAGAGACATTTGCAGCCTGTGATAAAACAAGTGTTATGCCAAATTTCCTGCAATTTCTAGGTTAAATTCAATTCGCACAGAAACGGTAGATAACACAGTCATGAATGCAGTAACAGCAGTGTGACTATGCCTGTGGCCACATCCCTCATGCTTGTTGGAGATTATCGTTTTTCGCTATCCACGAACAATATACGGGATACCAGATGGATTAGTTCGTCATCCGTCTACATCAGTCCTAGCGTTGGACGACCGTACTGGGACCGCTGACTGCATGGAATTTTGCTCATAAGCACCGGGTATATTGTAATTTGGCGCGAGTAAAAAAATGAATCAGTTACCTCCGTTAACACCGAGTTCAGCTGGGTCATCCTCTAGGAGGAAGGTGCTGCCATCAATTTCTCTGAGAGGACCAGTGTACTAGAAAGGAAATTTCGAAATGCCGGTTAAACGCTTTAATTACAACGAGCTGAAAAGTGGAAGACAAAACATGTGAAGAGACCGTAGCGACTAGACACGCAGTATGGAACATAACTGATGACGTTAAGATATGGGAGCACAAAGGACCACATTCGAGCAGGTTGTGAGTATGCGTCAGCCAAAAGGTATGTCGGTGACAAGGCAATAAACCGAATGTTTATCCCATCGTATCAAAAATGGAAGGCCTCCAGAACGTCAAGCAGCACGGATGTGCAACGCATGGAAGTTAAAACCATCATGACGACACCCGGCTTAGGGCTGAGGGCCCGGAACACAGGCCGCGCATACTATCTAAATTAAAATGGGAAAGCATGAATGGTTCTAGCGGTTCGTTTGGATTTTGGCGTATCCGCTGTGTGTTTAGATTGAGATAAACGGTTTTAATTTGTACCGCAGTCTATACTGAAGTGAGCGAGGTCAATAAGTGAAGTGGATGAATGGTAGGTAGCTCGTGACCAACACCAAACTCCCCGGTAAGTTTCATGCTTGGTTAAACTGCTCGGGCACAAACAGCTGAGCTTAGATTTGAACTCAGGACGCAGTATACAAAAGTAGAATCACTTACCAGTACACTATAGAAATTTGTGAGTAAAGATGTAACGACAATGCATAGTTCACGGTTGATTTAGTTGCGTACTACCGTTCCTCTAAAAACATTTCAGAGGAATTCATCCGGCACATGCGCTGAGGTGTGTTTCTTACACAGCTATCGTTTATTGAAGATGATGAAGCCTGTATACCCAACCACATCCTTTGCATGAAGTTGGAAAACCGGTGACTGGCAGATTCGTGAACTTACACGTTTTCTTTAACCGGATAAATGGAAAACGGGAATTCTTGTCGGTAAGGGATTGTGGTTGCCAACAAAGTGAATGAGGCCAGTCAGTGTGACTAAACAGCTAGTTGTGATGTGGTGTGGCCTGATGATCGCAGTTCTTTGGGTGCTGAGGTTTGACACGATGAAAATGGGCGCACGGCTTACGCACATCTTATGGCATGAGATGTATAGAATCACAAAACTTAAAAACGCTGACCATGGTACGGAAACACGCGAAGCAGAAGAGATGACTAATTATAACAGATAATGTTAATAAGTGCAAAAAGGAGTCGTCCCGCAGGTATTTGTTGACAGTCAGATCCAGTGCATCAACGCTAAGACTAAAAACACTCATGTTTCGTATAGTTACAGGTGTGTAGATAAGCAGCACAGGGTACCAGTAACACCAGATTTGAATTGGTAGAATATACGCTGCGAGTTCTGACTGCGATATGAAATCTCAAATAGAACCACAATTAAATTAAAGCAGGTTACCGTTATTGCAAACTGTATGGGGATTTGGAAACATTGCCACCGTAGTTCATTTCAAGGTAACCTTAGTGGTGATAATGTTTCGGGAAAAAACAACAGAGGGAAAGTGGACCTGGTGATACCATTAACCCAGCAAGTCCCAGTGCATCGGAAATGGGAAAATAACGGTCGCCTACACTCGATAAAAAGTTGAAGCAATTTTCAGTAGTTCCGGATAATTATCTCGGTTTTGTTGTCTTGCAACTTGACAAGTTCCAGATGTGGATATTGAGTAACTGTGTTGTATTGTTGTGAAAACGATTTGATTCCATGAGGTCGTATTGAAAACGTTAGCAGAACACACACGCACTAGCTGGTAGTGTGACTATACAGAGTCAAAGTGCAGAAGCACTGTGTGAATATCATAGTCACTGTACATCAACCGCACACACTAATTAACCCCGGATATAACTCAAACAGTGAGCTTAAAAGTTTGGATCAGACAAGTAGAAAGCAAAGCGCCAACTTAAAGTAACTCGTCGCGTTGCTGACCACAAAATGCAGGCGTTCGATGTAGGCAACCGAAATATGAAGTAGAATGTCAAAGCTGAAATACATGATTTGCCGTACAAGTCGAAAAATAAACCGAATGGACGTTTCACAAGTGCATAAGCAGTCAGCAGAAATGTACACGTTGTTTCAGTCCGGCTGAAAAAGATGTACTCTTTGCTTCAGATCTGTTTGTTAGAGAGCCCACAGAAGGCGAATTGACACAAACTACTGGTGCCAGGATCGAAAGAGTCGGAATGGTTTAAAAAAGTAGAAGAGAAGAAAAGAGCCTCTCTATGGGATCCTATTTCCAATTATACATAACAACGATTTTAAAGATGAGCTATACGGTAATGACTTACTTGTTCTTAGGCCACATCGGTGCGCGCCGGCGCTGATGAGACGTATCGAAGGTATGCCCCGTGTGGAAGCAGATCCACAAGAGTCGGTTGTACGGATAACCGTATAACTTTTTGAAACAATCACTTTCGCCTTACTATTATCCCAGTTTTCCTAACAATTTTAACTGATCGAATACCCCGAAAACCTATCTGGGAAATGTGTTAGAAAATTTGAACAAATATCTATCCTTTGCGATCCTGTTGTGCCTATTGATCAGACCAAATCGTTAGACTGTATCTCGCACAGTCGAGAAATATACAACTTACAAATGTTAAAGGATCGATACAAGAGAAATCAAAACCAGAAGGTAGAAATATAACAGATGGAATGAATAAGGATCAAACAGAGGTAAAAAATAAAGATAAATGGGCCGGGTGACTAAAAGAAATAGCATCGACGGGTAGGCGATTGAAAGATTTAGGAAGCTGAAAGTAAGCTCGAAATATAAGACTCTTGAGTTTGGAAGTGAGAAGATTCAGTGCGCCCATCAAACATTTTGGTGAAAGAACAAAAAGTGGTTGAACATCGCCGAAACCCATTAAGTTGCCAGATAAGCTCAAAGGAAAATTGATAAGTGGATAAATTCTTAGGAGCAGCAATGAGTTGGAACCCACTTCGTCTTCGTCTACTTGTTGATTGCAACAGAAAACCATACCACCATCCCCGGCATCGTCCTCCGCAGACTCGTTTACCAAAGTTGGGTTGAATTCGAAAACTTCACGGCCACTGATCTGAAAGCGGATAGAAAAACATGGCAAAACAACAGAATCACTGAAAGATTCAACAAAAATTAGATAATTAAGTTACAACAATCAAACATCGCTCAACGAGTTCATTCAAGTCAAGCTTTATACACCCATGTAAAAGCATGTCTAGCAATTTAACTAAAATTAACCGGTTATTATGATACGATGACTTTCCAATCAGTTTCAAGTGTATTATAAGATATTCAGTCAAACACTTATTGAAGTAAACCCCGGGAACAGACTAGTGTTAACAAGGAAAATAAATATGGCTCCACCGTGGGAATGTACATTACTTACACCGAGTCCGGTTACAGGCACAAAGGGCAAGATACATGCCATGGGTCTTGCATACTTTGCTATAAAACAGTACGTAAGTTACTATGCGGAAGGGAAGGTAAACAAGTGAGTACAAACAATGCCATGCAGAACTTCAAATAATCAATACATCAAAAAATACTTTTCGCCGAAGTACATAGCATATCTACCGCTGTTGGTACACAAACTATTCCCCTTTCCGAAACATGAGGAGCTTTCAGAGAAAACGATAAGGTCACGGGTAGTAGCGAGAATGTGGAGATGTTGAGACTATCAGCAGAGGTGAATTTCCGTAGCGAGGGAACGGGGAGAATTTCGTTTCCCAGCTGAGTACCAAGGAGAAAGTAAGCATAAAGCACAAAATGACTATAAATCAGTTCAGCTCAATTGAACAACTATGATCTGGGCGTCGAAGTGCGGTGGATCCAGTTGCCACGGCTCACACCGTAAGAAAAACAATAAATAACAACGGCAAAAATGAGGTAGAACATGAATAGAAAATAAACAAAATGGAATCAAGTAGGAGGCGCGTTAATCTAATCCGGATGGAACGAGTACATGTGAAAACAAAACGCAGGACTGAGATTAGTGGTCGTAAATGTCAAAAGCAAGCAACGAAAACGGTGGGAGTTAAAAGTGAAGTTATTCCAGTAACAGTATGCGAATGTTCCTTTCTTGGGTTAAGTGGATTAAACAATCAGCAAAAACACCCAATCTGATCATGTTACGACCTATAATAAACTTCCAAGAATATAGTGCAAACTAGAATACAGATTCAGGAAGAAGCTGAAGAAATGAGATGGAGAAAAACAAAGGTACTTCGGTATTAAAAGGCTTCCGTAAACTGGAATACGATCAATTAAAGGGAAAATTCCAAGGATGGAAGGAAAACCCCATAATAAAACGGCATAGAATTCATGAGCCAGGACAGAAGCAACAGTTATCAAATGAGCAGCAAGAGGAATTCATACAAACAAAACGCAAGGTATTGGTGGGCAATCGTATAAGCAATGAAACACAAAACTAGATTGCAGTGGGAAAGGGGGTCCCGAATATGCACAACACAAAGGTGACAAATATAGATAAGTCGATTTGGTCAAACAGCTAGAGTACCTACGCCGGTACTCGAACGATATGCCCTGGGAGCAACAGTAGAAAAAAAGAGATAAGAAAAGACGTAAAACATAAAAGAAACATACAAAGAAAAGCAGCTAAGTACATCTGCTTTAAACGCTTGCTTTTTTCACCGTTGCTCCCAAGGCATAACATCGGCGGTATCCGGTTCCGGAGTTGCCTGTCACTCTCGCCCCCAAATGACAGCCCCAGGACGCCTGAGCCTACAGAGGTAGATGAGTGCCTTGCACTGCCCGATCCACATCCCTAACTACACATGCTATACGCAGTGCGAACCCGGAGGAATAAGACCGGCGGGCATGTGGATGCGAGCCAGGTATCATCAACCGAGCCGGTCCATCCTCTTTCAATATGCACCGCAGCAACATTCCAGTCAGTCAAATTGAGAAATCAACAGTGTCTGCATCGCATTCTGTGCATCGGCTGGGGTGACCGAGTTACAGACAAGGAGGTGCTCGGACGCAGTGGCAGGAGACTGCAGACTTCTGCTGAGGCACCTGAAGTGGCTCGGGCATGTCACCCGCATGGATTCGACCCGGATACCGAAACAGCCGCTTTATAGCCAACCGCGTGCATGAAAGCGGCAAGTGGGAAAACCGAAGTTACGTTACCAGGACATGATCAAGGTGAGTTTATCACGAACTAATGTTTATTTCAAGTGTTGGGATGCGATGTCATTGGATCGGTGACGATAGAAAGCATATCAAGAGGGCGGTAGCCTAGGTGCATGAGAAATCACTACTGTATGCAGTAAAGAAACGCCAATTGTGGAAACGACAGAGGCCGATGTTGGATAGCTCATCAAGATCGAGCACATTGTGTTGTAGCACATGCGGTCGTGAGTGCCTGATCCAAGCAGGCTGAGTAAGCTATCAGCGTACATCTACGAGAAGACGAGTTAGCCAAATACATAGTCATCATCAACGCAGCGCATGATAAATTCGCTGCTTCGGATCCATTTTACTAACCCAGAACGATAAGGCGATTGATGTGATAGGCGTGCCGAATCGTCGTTGCAGTTGGGCTGTATGTGTGCCTGCGTGTTGGGAGTCTTGCATTCCAGAGGTTGGATGTTGTTTGATATCGCCGGTGTGGCTGGGATTGACGTGAATGTTGACGAGGTGCCTAGTTGTCTAGTACCCACCGCCTCGTCTATACTGGCTACAGGAGACAGTTACTCATTGCTAGAAGAGACGGGGTGCACGGTAATCGTGACGGTGTTAGACCCACAGAGTGTGGAGCGGGCTACGGTTCAGTCACCGTCATGTGTACTACTGGTATGCTTGATTCCACTATTGGACTGACAAATGTTGTTGCTGTGAGGTGAAGGAGTGTGGGCCGACTGCGTTGATGAAATGTGGTTCTCATTCACACGCTTCCCGTTCTTATTCCTTTTAGTGTACACTGGTTATGGGGTGTGTGAATGAGGATGTGGGTGGTGAGGCGCGAGCCACCCAAGGTCTACCTGTAGGCGCAGGCGTACTGTGGCTGTCCCCATGGAGACTATCGAGTGTTATCAGTGCGTAGTGATGGCGCAGAAGTATCCAAACCCTGAGTGGACGCATAGTAAACGTGCTCTCTACTGCTAACGAATTTCACTTCTTCCTCAGCACCTAGCACAGTCATGATACAGTCATTCGAACCGGATTAACTCCCCGTGTTCAGTGAGCAGATTATTACTGAATTATTTCCTACGGAAAGTGAGCTATGCTACTGAAGTTGTTGTAGCGCGCTTCGTGCTTCTATCCAGACGCGCCACCCTATTGTTTTTAACACTGTGATCGATCAAGGATTCTCCGCGCCATCTGATGGTCATAGAATTACATCCATAGGATCATTGCTAACAAAGCTATGACTCAATCTGTGGTTCCAATTGTATTCGCCCATCGCCGGCACTTCTCGCTGACATCCACCCACTACGATCCAATTCCAACGGCTTTATCCTACAGGAAACAGTGCGGAGGAATAAGCTTGCCAAATTCCGTGTACGTGTGTCCTAGTCGTGACACACGCCCCCTACGGTAACCGACGTCGAGCATGCGACTGGAACAAAGAACGCGAGCATCACTCGCTCTCTATCTCACATGACCAGGCAAGGGAAGCGTTCGTGTGCAAAGACGGCACGCAATGGAATCGATTCCACCTAACCGCAAATGTGGTAAGCGAAAACGTGTACGAGGAGCCAGAAGAGGCCTAATTTGTGCAGTTTGCGGCCTTCCGTTTCACCCTCGCTGTGCTGGGTTAAGTCAATTACAATATAAGGGACAAATAAAACTGACTGATGCGCCCTGATTTTGCAGAGCAATCCCAATGGTCAAGTGTATAATATCGCCCGTGAAAAAGTGCGAAAAACTGACTGAAACAGTCCAGCAGATGGTGAGCTTCAGGGATTTGCCATTAGAATCTAACAACACAGATCTTGTTCTACAGCAAACCCCTCAGAGCTCTGTTCCTAATTCAAACACTAAAGTCAGTCTTGCTAACCGCCCAACGGCATTTGCACCACGTACTCCGACAATTACTAACCATTTAATTTGGTAAGCCACATCCGATGCGACTGCTACCAACTCATCCCCAGATGCCACACCTGACAAAATGGTCACAACACCGGCAATCCAGAACCATTTAACATACGTATCAATCGCCTCGACAAAAACTCCCAAAGAGACAACAGTACGTCCATTTTCTGGACCAATCACGAGCGATGCGACGCCGCTCTCACAACATTCCTTACTGCCCGCTAAATGTTCCAAGTTAACAGCCACAACGCTCAAACCGACATGCGCAAAATAGAACCACAGAAGGTTAACGGTCGTGTTCCCCAATGTCCCTAGGTCCAGATCTGGCACAACAAAGGGCAAGTTGGTAGATGATCGCAACCAGTGGAATTCCATCTGCGATACGATTGACATTCGGGTTGAGCCTACTGCGTATTGTGGCGAACCTCGATTGTTTAGAGTAACAATGAACACAAATGAGGAGACAGAGACAGTTCTACTTTCAGCAATTCATCTTAGCAACTCATCGAGAGGGGTACGCATACTATCAGATATTAGTTGGAAAAGGCGGGCAAATGAAAAAGAAAACCATGACGGCTCTACTACGAACGAAAGCAAGAAAATAGTATTTGTTCATAGTGTTCCTGAACTAACAGGTTCTCCTGATCACGAAGCGCAAATACATGACCGAGAACAGTGGTGCTACATGCGCGAAGCACTCTTGTTGGACGACTTTATCGCTAGATCACTAACGAGAATTCCATCATCCCAAATTATATGGGTTGCGGTCCAATAATATTGAAAGTCGTGCTACACTCGGAAGGAATGACAAAAGTCCTATTGGACAGCCGGTTAAAGTATCGTTCCAAGTTACCTATCGAGATAAAGCCAAAGATAACAGATGCACGGCCAATAGTTGTCAGCAATTTATTGGAACATGCAACGACAATAATATAGTTGCCTCCACAATCCTGCAGAGTAGTAGATATAATAGCCCTCGCGACATTTGACGGGACAGGGAGACACAAGAGAGAACAA